ATTCCTTTGAAGGTACCCCTAATTTCGGGACCCCCCCCCCCCCTATTTCTGATTGAAACTACTCGCCAAACTCTGCTCCAAATTGGGAAACCAAGACTCCAACTCCTACACAAAACCTAGAGCCAAAGTCTCTCAATAGGGTTCAGGATATACGGCTTAGGATTTGGGATGGGGGCTTTAGGGTTTAGGATTTAGGGCATAGGGTTTGGGGTTTAGGGCTTAGGGTTTAGGACGCAGGATTTAAGGTTTTGGGCTTAAGATTTATGATTCAGCGTTTTGGGTTTAGGACTTAGGGTTTAAGACTTAAGGTTTAATCCAAGCAAAGGTCTGTCTCAGGAATATGAAGGAACATAGATGTGTACCTTTCATGTCATTTTCCATCTGATCCTCCAGACTTAGTCCCTACTCCCGCTCCTACACTCACGACCATACATACCCCTTTTCATCCCCCCAAACCAGAAACCCAAAGACTAAGCCCCAAACCTTAAACCCTAAAACCCTAAACCCTTCTGAACCCTACCCTCGAAGCCCTGAACCCTAAACCCTAGGGCCTAAATCCTAGCCGCTGAATCCGGCATTCTTCATGCTTCTACCGCCTGGAGCCCACCTTTTTCCCTGCGGGGCGTTTGAGGAACGTCGCGGAGCGCACGGCCGATTTTAGGCAGCGCCATGGAGCATTTGCAGGAAGGCGGGTTTAGGGGTTTTGAGTTTAGGGGTTTAGAGTTTAGGGTGTAGGGTTTAGAGTTTAGGGTTTAGGGGTTTAGGGTTTTAGAGTTCGGGCTTAGGTTTCTAAGGGTTACCTTGGCCCCAACGCAGAAAAATGATGGCACAAACCGAAGACATGCCAGTTATTCTACATGCTTGTTGGGTCCTGGTAGAATATTGCTTTCTTCTTCGGGTTTAGGATTTAGTTGTTGGGGTTCACGGCTTATGGGTTTAGGGTCTGGACCCGCCCTATTATTAAAAGTCACATGCGCGATCCTTGTTGGGGAAGACAGGGGGTTCCTACAATGAGGGATGCCTTTTTAGCGGTCCCAGTATAGGAGCTTTAATATTCTGAAGTCTACATCGGGTCGCCTATTTAAGGAAAGCACTATATACCACATCTGCAAAAGCGGGGGGACCGTGACAGGGTGGGGACACTTAGGTAGCATTTGAGTTCAAGTTGTAGGAGCGTTGGGCTTTCGGCTGCAGAAGCCTGGTTGAGTGTACCAAGAGTACACAGCACAAACAGTTCACTTCTTTACTGGATAGCCTAAACCCTAAACCCAAAACCATGTCATCCCGCCCCCAGATTGCGAACCTCGGGGTTTAGGGGTTTCGAGTTTTGGTTTAGGGTTAAGACTCAGGGCCTTTGGGTTTAGGCTTTAGGGCCTGAGGGTTAAGGGCTTAGGGGCTGCAGCTGCTGCACGAGTGATTTCCATAAGGTCTGGAGAGCACTTTGGCTCGCCTGGCCTTGTCCAAGGTATCAAGTACGGCCTCCAATGTGAGAGTTCCATTTCCCTGATCATCCTTCCTGCGTGGCCCGTCTAGGGCCCACTACACGCCTGAATCAATTTTCAGCATGCCGTGCCGCCATATGTTTTCGCTGACCCGGTTACTATGTTTCCCATCATTTCTGATTGTCCGGCCCCTTAGAACCCGTACTGCGTCCCTTGCTATAAATACCCTAGCCCCCACAAGAAGGGACGCCTAATTTTGGAAATACCGATTTGGAAGCGCGCTTTCAGACCTTGGACCTCAAACCCTGAAATTCATGAAGCCCAAAACATAAAACCTAACCCTTAAACACTAAACCCAATAGAGCCCTAAACCCTAAGCCCCACACCCCAAGCCATTGAGACTATAAAGCCCCATGCCCTAAGCCCGAAGCCCTTAAACTTCAACCTATAAAGCCCTAAACCCTAGCCCTAAATCCTAAAGCCTGAGATTTGAACCTTGGACCGAGGCAGCGGGAAGTTGCTACGAGCTTTGGGCCTCAGATCATCCCAAGTTGGTTGGGCTTAGGCTTTGGGCCTTGGTACGGCTTGAGAGGGTTTAGGGTATGGGGGTAATTTTGGAGTTCCTAAAGTTCTTATGTGGGTTTTTATGTGGGTTTATAATGGTCTAGACACAACTATACAAGCTTTATAGAGTTTAGGAGGTCGGGCTTTTTTGGGCGTTTGCGGCCTGCACCGATCAGAACCTTGGGCACATGGGAGTTTTCTACATAACTCCTGAAATTAGGGGTTTAAAGAGAAGATTATGTAGGGCGTTATGCAGGGTCAAGAGTTTAGGCATGGGGGATTATATTGGGTTTAGGCTTTAGCCTCATAGGGGCATCTTTGAGCCATGTCAGAGAAAAGCGTCGGCGATTGCGTTTACTTCAGCTGCTGCAGCCTGTGTCGATTCCGGTTTAGGGTTTAGGGCTTCTTGTTCACCATGTGAGCTACTTAAACCCCAAATGTATGCAGAACAAGGGCCTTTTGGGCTGTTTGAAAGGGTTTTGGACTATTATTACGCCTTTACACCTACTTTTGGGGTCTAGGTACTTCTTCTTGTTTACCATGTGAGCTACCGTCAAAATTTGGAAATATTATCTAATGCACATGGGTTCCTTATTACAGACTACATTAGGGACTATACTAAACTACAAGAGGGACCCCTGTGTTCAATGCTCAGAGTCCCTAAATAAACCAAATATGGACAGTAGTAGCTCATGTAATAACCGCAATTATCCCTTAGGTGGACCGCCCACCCTGCAATAGTGGGATAATAGGAATCTGAGAGGACCCTAATATAGTCACCAATATATCTTTTAGTCACTATTACTTGCTCGAGGGTCCACCTAAGACCCCTCTATAACATTATAAACCTACTTAACAAGTCCCCGGCAGGTCCAAGTAAATGCTTGCAGGCTCTGAACCCGAAACCCTCCACTCCAAATCCGAAAGCTTGAACTTCCTGAGGATTAGTATAACAGTAGGGGATAGGGGAATATATTTAGGATCTAGGCATTCTACTCCTTTGTTTCCTACTAAGAGCACCAATGCGTTGAACGTTTTCAGTCTTCTCCTTATTCTAGAGGGTTCGTAGACGAGCCCGTTGGCAAATGTAGCTACCTCCCCTGGAGTGGTGCATGCTAAGTGCTGAACCCCAAGGTGTCTACCCTGCCACACATCTGAAAGAAAAGACACTAAAAAACATTTCGAACATCTTAAACAACAAATGCAAGCAACCGCTAAACTTAATGGCTGTTCCTTACTAAAAACGAGCTAGCTATACTCTACTGAAAGTACTTCCCGTTTTCTTTTCCATTCCCTCATTCATCCTCATTCCCTACTAACAGGGGCAGGCTCATTCATATTGCAAGATAATAAGCCGTAAACCCTAAAACCACATGAACCTTAAACCCCAAACCCTAAAGCCTCATAAACCATAAACCCTAAAACCCCACAAACCTTCAACCCCAAACCCTAAAACCTCATAAACCCCAAACCCTAAACCCTAAAACCCCACAAACCTTTAACCCCAAACCCTAAAACCTCATAAACCCCAAACCCTAAAGCCTAAAACCCCATAAACCCCAAACCCTAAACCCTAAAACCCCAAAAACCCCAAACCCTAAACCCGGAGAAAAAAAAAACCCATAAACCCCAAACCCTAAACACTAAAACCCCATAAACCCCAGACCCTAAACCCTAAACCCTACAACCCCTTAAACCTTAAACCCTAAACCCTGAAACCCCTTAAACCTTAAACCCTATCCTTCCAAAGTCTTTCTGGCAATTGTGCCAAGCTGCAAACTTCGAAGCTGCTGCGTGCTATCGCCCTGCGGTGGGAGGTAAGAACATGGGCCTGGGCGTGATGGACTCTGAAAGGATATAGGGTATAGGGTATATAGGGTATATAGGGTATATAGGGTATATAGGGTATGTAGGGGTATATAGGGTATATAGGGTTTAGGGTTTAGGGTTGGTGGACTCTGAGAGGGGGATTATAGGAGGTTGTCTAGGGATAATGGGGTGTATATTGGGGTTCTCTAAGGATCATCTAGGGACTATCTTGGGGTTATATAGGGACAATGGAAAAGAAAATTGAAACTACTATAATTTAGCGGTGATGTAGGGTTTAGGGTTTGGGGGAAGTGAAGGGAAAAGGTTAGCGTTTACGTAGAGTTTAGACTGCAGTCTCTCAAATGATGCCCTATTGTAGGACGCTTCATTGTAGCAGAGTGGAACAGCAGCAGTGGCCAGCATCTACTTCCCCTCACCAGTATCCCGGTAGTTGGACTCATGGTTTTGGGGGTCAGGGGCAGGGCAGGGGACAATGCCCCAAACCCTAAACCATTCTATCATGAAAGGGTTTTCAGAATGCTTCAGGCAGGTTGGTGTCCTATGCTTCCAAGCGCAACAAACTCAGACTTTATGTCTATGGTTTAGGGTTTAGGGTTTGGGGTTTGGGGTTTGGGGTTGAATTAGGGTTTAGGGTGCGGATTCCGAAATTGAGCGTCCTTTTGGGGGTGCCTCTACCGGGGTTCGAGTATATCGGGGATATATGGCGGGGGTCCCCGCAATAGTTGGAAACTGCCATATTGGGCAACAGAACGGCAAAGCAATAACATGGCAATGTCAGAACGCCACTTCTGCTTGTGTCCTCGCCTAAACATTGGGGTCCCCATTAGGCAGACACACCAGACAAATCACTGAATGCTGCCTCGGATGTGCGAGGATGGAACAAAGGGGGTATGAAGCAAGATAAGTATTGTACTTTATTGATTGTAGGCAAGCCCTACCTACTTAAAATTACTCCTGAACCGCCAAGTAAGACCCGAGAATCCTTCCAAACCCCATCCAAGCCCTCAAGCCTGAAGCCTACACCCTGAACTCCGTAAAGCCCGAAACCTGAAACCTTCACTCAGACCCTAAATAAACCCCAAAGCCCAAAACCTAAACTCCCTAGACCGTCTAAACCTCAAACCCTAAACCCCACACACCCAACCCTCTTTGCAAGCATGGCGCGGCGCGCCCGCAATGGATCCTTGGGGAGGAAGCTGAGGCCTGGCTATAGATCCTTGTGGTGGGAGGGACAGGGAGCCCTGTGGAGGGCCCATGGAGGCTGTAGGGGGCAGGTTGAGCATGCTTGGGGGGCTCAGGGAGCCCTGAGGTGGCAGCTGCTGTGGCACGAAAGATCCTGGTGGAGGTAGGTGTTGTGGGCCCATGGACCCTTGTGGTGGAAGCTGTGGAGCTATGGATCCTTGGGGTGGCAAGTGGGGGGCCAGGGAACCCTGCGGCGGCAAGCGCTGCGGCGCAATGGAGCCCTGTGGAGGTAGATTTGGGCGGCCAAAAGATCCCTGCATACTTGGCATGCCTGGTGCCTGCTGTGGGACTATGGAGCCCTGTGGTGGCAGCCGCTGTGGCTGGATGGATCCTTGCGGGGGTGCAGTCATGGATCCCAGCTGGGCCATGCTTTGTGGCGCTATGGATCCTTGCGGAGGCAGATTCATTGGAGCAATCGACCCTTGGGGTGGCAGATTGTGCGGCGCTATGGATCCTTGTGGCGGCAGATTCATTGGAGCAATGGACCCTTGGGGTGGCAGATTCCGGGGTGCTATCGATCCTTGCGGTGGCAAATTGTGTGGTGCTATGGATCCTTGTGGTGGCAAGTTCATTGGTGCTATGGATCCTTGCGGTGGCAAATTGTGGGGTGCGATGGATCCTTGTGGTGGAAGATTCTGCGGTGCAATGGAGCCAAAGGGTGGCGCAGGAGGACCCTGTGGAGATATGGAGCCCTGGGGTGGAAGGTTCTGTGGGCCCAGGGAGCCTTGTGGCGCAAAGCTCGGGAACTGCATGCTCCGCGGCGACACTGAACCCATGGGCAACTGTCCACCTGCATGGGGACACATCCTTTTAGTGAATACTGTCTTCGGGGGGATTTACCTAAACAAACGACAGCCAGGTATAATCTGTTTGGGTACTTATTGGGACTTCCTTTGTGCGCGATTACTCCCTCTAGACTCTAGAACTCCTGTGGCAAGAGGCATTTAATGGGGTCCCTTGTCCCAAGGGGTCCCTAAGTAGAAAAGGAAAGCACGGTCTCGTGAGACGCGGTTTGGGGTTTAGGGGTTTAGTGCTTCGGAATGAGGATGCGTTGGCATTCTGGATAACCGCAACCTGCAGACCACGTACAATGCTACAAGCAACTTGATGTAAAACATGGACAGAATCATAGATGAGCTTGCAAACGCATGCAGAGCCTGTGCGAGTAATTCTCGAAATCAGGCTCGGTCACAAAACTCTCTGAGAAAAAAGTCTTGAATCTGGAAGCCCCTCAACAACCGACGCACTAAAGGCATCCATGTTGTTGGGAAAGCCCCACTTCACAATCCTAAACCCTACAATAAAACTTCCGCAAACACACCCGACATGGAAACCCAGCTAAGCGCGCGCCAACCACAAGCAATTCCCCCATGTGGGTCGTTTAAAGCAAAAAAGGATTCCCTTCAAAGTTATATACCTCCGAAATCCTCCAAACACTAAACTCTAGGCCCTGAACCCTAAACCCCGGCGTATTTCGCACTGCCTTAAACAAAAGGCTTCTTTCACACACCTAGGCTATGTTTACGAGAGCCCTATATTGCATAGCTGAAGCCCCTGAAGTCCTGAAGAATACCCTGTTCAGGATTTAGGGCGGCGGGAAATGCAAAAGCTTGGAAAACCTCTAGCCCTGAGCCCTCGACCCTCGTCCCCAGACCCTAACCCCTAACACCCAACGGCTAATCCTTATCTCAATCCTTTAACCCTAAACCTTAAAACCTACAGCCTAAACCCTAAACACTGTAGTCCCGTTAAGTAGATAGAATATGGCTTTGGGTATATTATAATAAGATCCCCATATACCCCATATTCTATCTGCTTACCCTATAACTCCCTTTCAAAAGACCTGAAGATGCTGCTTCGCCCTGCGGGGCCTGATGTGTAGGAGCCCCCGGGCCATAGCGCCTCGCAGATGTGATGCCGTGTGTCCCTAGACTGATGTTAGCCATATATGAACAGAACAACATATATGAATATGTCTAATTATATGTGTATAGAGGGAATACAAGGCTATATAGGAACAATGGAAACGAACATGGAAACTACCATGTAGAGTTTAGGGTTTAGGGTTTAGGGCTTATGGTTATAAGGGCTTCAAAGGTACTATGTAATTGTCGATTGAGGCTTGAGTTTTCGTTGTTTGTTGCCCTGTCTTTCGACATGTCACACCAGGCGAAATCCCCTTTCGAGCAGAGGCCCATTAATTAGTGCAGACCCTAAACCCTAAATCCTAAATCCCAAACCCTAGGTCCTAAACCCTAAACCCCAAACCCTAAACCCTAAGTCCTAAACCCTAGACCCTAAACCCCAAACCCTAAACCCTAGTGCATCTACAGGGCGCCCAAAGAAGGTTGGGAGTACCAAAGCCCTGTTTCTTCGGCCTAGTGGGTAAGCTGTGCGGCCACAACGCCAACTTGGGATCTTCGGTAAGGTGGAACCAACACCAGCCAGGGAGCTTGTCAAGATTTCGGTCTTTTTGTAGGGGGGCGGACGCCCGATAAGCACAGAAAAGGTTGTTAAAAGCCAGTAGATAGTCCGTGTATTTTAGTAAGAGCGAAGCTCTTTCAAAGCCCTGCTAATTACTGGTAGCAGGCTTCTGGGGGTCTCAGGCAAACACAGGAGGATTCAGCAACAGCTTAGGACCCATCAGTGCCTACAGTTGTTTCCATGGCAAGTATCCCAAGGTACTGAGCAGAAAGAAAGAAACTAAATTCTGAACCCTGAACCCCATATACCCCAAACCAGAACCCCCGTCCCATCGCAATCTCCATATACGCTAAGGGCCCACAACAGCCCTGGATTTTGAGAAATCCTAAGCTCTAAACCCCGAATCCCTAAAAATGCCCCGTGTAGGTCTCTGGAAGGTCCACTTTACATTGAATCGAGAACCTCCCAAAAAAGAACGTTCCGTGCTTTTCTTCGGGGCTTATACCAAGCAAAAGCCAAACAGATCTGTTCAAGACATCCCTCATGGACATACAACGCGAAAATATCCCCAGTATGCTGGAAATCGGCTTTTGGGTTTAGGGTTTAGGGTTTCATGATGAATTTGATTATCAACAGCAGCACATACAGTTTGGGAACCCCAGCTGCCACCTCAGAAGTACCGAAGCCAAGTGGAGAGCCCCCTGTAGTGAGGCTTGAGTCTCGAAATGGGGTGCCCTGAGGGACGCACAGGGCTACAATATGGAAATTACAAAGATCTTCTGGAAAACATTATGAAGTGGGGATTATACAAGGACTGTTTCAAGAAATTGCCATTAGGCTGCGGCGTTGGCTCTAGGATTTCGGTTTAATAGGGTTTGGGGTCAGGGAGGATCTAAGGTTTAGGGCTCTAAGAGGTTTGTAGCATTGAGGGTTGAGAGGGTTTAGGCTTTAAGCTATGAAAGGTTTAGGGCTTTAATGCTCGGGGATTCAAGGTGGAACTTGGACTCAACCCCAAGGAACGACAAAAATCTCAAACCGTGAGCTCTACCCTACTTGCTTATCAGGGGTTAAAATACGACTATGCACTACGCAGCTATAAAGCGGACATTATAATGTAGCTTTAAACAGGACCCCTCAAAAGAAGGTCTAAAGCATAAACCCTATGCCCGAACAAAGCCCTAAACCTTTCCAAGCTTTCAATCCAAACGACGCCCAAAGCCTTGACGCAGCCCGAAACCCAAGAGACTCTGCATCCCGGCCCTGAGTCTGAGAGCATTTACTGTACGTTCTAGCATCCTCATTGTCCTAGAGACCTGAACCCAGATCCCAAAACCCTGAACTAATAAAAAAATGGGATTGGTGCTTCATGGGTAGTTAGACATGGGGTTCTGGGGCGCCAGGTTTGGGTAGGGCTAAGGATTTAAGATTTGGGGTGCAGGGATACCCGTACTTGGAACCTTAGCCGTGGTGCCTACAACTAACGACACTCATGAAGACCTGCCCATCAGCATCAAAAACTTGAGGCCTAAATCCCCTAAACCCTGGACCCTGAACCCTAAACCCTGCCGTAAACCTTGGGTGTACGGAACCCGACACTCTGAGCACTGCGACATCCCTTTTAGGCTTCTTTAAGGGTTCAGGGTTTAGGGGGAAGAGTTTAGGGCTTAGGGTTGGGGATTCAGGGTTTAGGGTACTATAGAGATGTAGATACAGAGCTTTACAATCTAAACCTCAAGGCCTTTAAGACTACCTAGACCCCAAAAGTAGGTAGAATAATGGCGCAAAACCAGTTAAAACAGCCCAACAAAAGGCTGTTGTTCTCCATACATTTGAGGTTTAGGTAGCCGCATGAAGACTTGGCCTCTCAACTCAACTAATGACTCCCGGCCTCCTCGTACCCTCCAACATAACCCGTTGCTTCTGCTAAACTTCTGCACCCATTCTCTGGACGGTAACATTATACACATTCATGTGCATGTATATATATATATATCCTGGAGGACATATCTGTCCCGAGGGTTAGGGATCATCATTCTCAGGAGGATCGAGGGATCACACGTTGCGCCTGCAACGCTTTGCAGCATGCCCTGAACCTGCACAGGTGCATCAACGAGAGTTCCAACCGTTGCGGCCGCAAAGTTTTGGGAGGTTGGGGTAGGCAGGGAACTTCCCAATGAGAAAACAGTCTTCGTTTTCTTGTCCCTTCTTCAATTTCTGACAACTACCACCTGGATCGAGCCCTGAACCCTCAACCCGGACACCCAAACCCGAATCCCTAGCACCTCCAAATCCTGAACCCAAAGCCCTACACCCTAATCCCTACGTGCCTAAACCTGTATTCCCTACCCCTGCAAACCCTAGACCCTGATCCCCTAAACCCCTAAACCCTGCAATCCTAAGCCCTAAACCCCTAAACCCTTAAATCCTAAACCCCTAAACCCCAAACACCACCTTCGTTGGCGAGATGGAGCCCTGGGGAGGAAGTGGAAGGTCGCCTGGCGACCTCGGAGGAGTCAACTCAGGTTGCCACCTGAGGGGTCATAGGTTTAGGGTTTAGGGT